TAACAACCAATGAGTGTCCAGCCTTCAGAGCGGTGGGAAATAAAAGCTAGCAACGGTGTAAAAACAGTATTGATAGATTATTTTAAGTTGTTGTTCATCGTAGACTGACATCAGTTGGAGTAACAAAGGAAACCTGGGAGTACAGGACTATTTAAGGTTATAGGCAGACATCAAAATTAGGGGCATACAGTAAGAGTCTTGTATGTGTTTGTCTGAATTGAACTCTTCCTGTCTCACTATTTTAATGTACCTATTAGCACACTATTGTACAGAAAGAACAACAAATTACTTCTTTTCTTATATTTCCTTGGCATTTCATAATTTCACTAGACACCTATTTTTCCACTTCTCATAGAAGTACTTATAGGAATCGGTCTCCATTCTTCTGAATTTACAAGGACAATCTTGTATGAGATGCCGTGTTCGACTTAGAGTATGCAGATGACACAGTCCTGTGAAACTGATGGAAACTTCTGGGAACCTTGAATAGGAGTTTGAGAATGGTTGGGATACGTTTCTCACCACTCAAATGCAAATTGTTGCCCTAGGCCTAGTGTACACTGGTGCTTCATACAACAGTTTGAAGCAGTGGTTGGGTGTATTGACCACTTTACTTATTTAGGGGGCCCGATCAGCCTTGGTGATTAAGTGGTCAACAAAACCCGAGCAGGAATACAAAAAGCTTGTTTGGCCTTTGTCAGCTTATACCAACTATAGCTCCAGTCTTATATCAGATTGCCTGTTATTGGCCAAGTGTACTGATTAGGGGTTCACGTATTCTTCTGTGTGGAGGACACGATAACGCTTCAGGTGTTCATCATCATTCCCTTCTTAGCTCTGGGCGCATGTTAGTGAACCAGTACGTGGGCAAAGTAAAGGTTAGGTGCGGAGCTATGTTTCAAGGAGGTAAGTCAGTTGATGTAATATTGAACCTTCATCTGTCGAGGTGGTTGGAGTATGTATCTCGTAAACCAACCCATCATCTACCCAATATCCTTTATTAGATCAATAAGGATTAGGTTACGAATAAACTCAAGACGTAGCACCGATTGGAGTCACAATGGTTTAAGACTTTGTATAGAACGGCTTGGCATCAGTTACAGTTGTATCTTTACGCAAACATATTACCTTTACTGCCTGCCTACCTTTGTCTTCTTCTTACAGCTTCTTGTAATACCTGGTAACATGACATTCATTTCTTTTTCCGCTTTATATCTTCACCATTGTGAACCTGTTTAGGTTGTCGCAACTTGGACAGCAATATGATAACATCACTTCATATTCTTTTTGATAGCTGTCATATTTACTATAGTACTAGAGATCAAAGATAATGCTAGTAGTGAATTGTCTACACTCCATTGACTGATGAATCTATCCATAGTACTCTTACCCAAGATGGTTTATAACCCAAAGAGTTCAGTACTGAATCCTTGAGTAATATCAACTGAAATCTCTGGCAAGACATCAATTCTTTGAGGTTGCTGATATTTCTTACTGTTGAGTGTTAACAATTCTTAAGATGAATGTCTGAGACTGCGACTGCTGATCACTCAAAACCATCCGTAAACAATATCAAGAGTTCACTAAGCTTGCTCCCCCCCCCCACCCTTGGTCTTTGGTATTTAAAAAGATTGTATCCAGTAATATCACGGTAAAAAAAAAACATGCTTTGTGAGATTTCAGTGTTTTTATATGGTTTCTATGCATTTATGTATATTATGTTTGTGTATTTTTACTCGCTATATTAAGCAAAATACATTTGTTGTAAAACTAGGTCTAGTATTGTTAATAAGTTAGATAATGTCAGCGAATAGACTTTTTCACTCAGTATATTTTTAAGGGAGAAAGAAGATAAAAGAATACCATTTTACCTTCAGAAAAAGACATTTTAAACCGCAAAAGAAAGAACGCCTGTTTATGTTTGATTTATTGACTGACATTCATTGGATTCACTTACAAAATATTCATCCATCGGTTACTATTTCACAGAATGATGAAGCATACTAATATGTATGAAAAAGAAAGTCAGTATATCGGGAATTTTGAAGGAGTTGTGGGGATTTGGAAATATTTCAAGTTATTATTCATCGTAGACTGACATGAATTGAAGGAACAAAGGAAACCTTGGAGCACTGGGCAGCTGTTTAGTCCTAGTATGGGACTCCTCAGCAGTACGCACCCACGACCCCAACAGGGATGGGACCCGTGACCATCAGGTCTCGTGACCAGCGCATTACCATTGAGCCACTGGGTCAGAACCCAATGGTCCATATTTTCAAGTTGTTATTCATCGTAGACTGACATCAGTTGAAGGAACAAAGGAAACCTTGGAGCACTGGACAGCTGTTTCGTCCTAGTGTGGGTGGCGGTTGAGCTAAATTGTGAGCCAACAGAAGTTGGAAATATGGACCATTGGGTTCTGACCCCGGTGGTGCGGGTTCGTGAGTGCGCACTGCTGAGTAGTCCCATAATAGGACTAGACGGCTGTCCAATGCTCCCAGGTTTTCCTTTGTTCCTCCAACTGATGTCAGTCTACGATGAATAACAACTTGAAATATCGGGAATTATCAGTTTGATAACCATGGTTTGGCAGATATGCATTATTAATTCTAGGTGATGATGGAAAGTGAAATGAAAATCTAAGCTATGACAGGATTCAAACTAGCGATCACGGGCAAACATCTTAGTAACTGATATAACATTAAAAATTCTAACCTCGTTTGGTAAAATACCCGTCAAGAAACCTATTGGTCAGTGATTTGAATGTTACCTTGATTCAGATTTTCATTTCACCTTCAATCATCATTCAGTATCAATGTGGTGAATTGTTCAAAAGATTTAAAATTAGAATTTGATGTTTGAACTCCAAAATTCTTAATGACTAGTATGTCGTTTATACTCGGTTAATATCTATGTAGATTTTCATAGTTTGATGGGAACATTTTTTTTTCTAAGGTGAATCAGTTAACTCATGTGTTGACAGAAATAGACTTACGCATATAATATGCTTACTTTGTCGCCAATATAGTGAAACCTTAACCGAATAACATAGACTATATGTTTATATGTTTTCGGTAACCATTTGAAGCCGTGACCTATTAACATGGGTGATTTACTTTTAAATTACACACCACAAGACCGAAATTTACTTCACCTACACGGTTTTTCCTTTCATGTAACTCTAATGAAAAAACTATGACTCTCGGCCTTGGGTCATGGTTATACGTATTGTTTGGTGATTATGTAAGTTACTTGATAATCGGGTAACCATTGAATCTGTGAAGAAGGCATGAACGATCTTATGAAAACTATGATAACTGGGTCCCGTATGTCATTTATTCGAAAAATACTAAATAACCAGGTATCTACTTCGTCGATTAATGGTACGTACATCTGTTGAGTCGTTAATATCAGGTAGAAATAATCAGATGATCTCTGAGATGAATTTGATGAAAATAACTTAATGCGCTTGAGTGAACTGGCAACACAAAATATGTTCAAACTAGGTCAAATATGAGCACCAACATGTGGTAAATCTGAAATGATCCAGTCAGCTAACCTGTTTTATTGTTTATTGTTTGGAGCTGCAGTTGAGGTGATGTCTTACAACCGCGCCTACTAACTAATTCATATTTGTTTTGAACCTCAAGGTTATTTCCAGTGAGTACCCCTTTTTCTACACCTATCCACCACTTTAAATGCTTGACCGAGTGATTTTAAAGGCCGCCCTAGCAACAAATGAAGTAACTATTTGCGATCTTAATTTCAAGGTGAAATTAAGAAATCTAGTTGGTTATTTCGGTAGGTCTTAGAGTGGCCTATAAAGACACTGATTTAGTCAACCTTATCTACTATTTAGAATTGTTGGTTTGATTAAACAGGATCATATCTTTGTTTACCTCTAAACTTTTAGAGTAATATTATCCCCAGTGTTTATCAAATTTTGTACACAAATGTGTGTTGATTTTCACACTTTTGAAAAACATCCCTTTCAAGTTGAAAACCATGTGAACTAGCAAACAAACAAACAAACTAGTGGCGTACATAAATCTTCGGCTGCCAAAAAAACTTTCCACCGATTATATTCCTTAAGATTGTTCCCTTTCAGTACGCACCTATGACCCCACTAGGCATCGAACTCTGGACCTTCAGGCTTCATGGCGAACGCATTAACTACTCAGCCACTGGGTTGGTTTCCAAGTTTTGTTTATTCATGATATAGCACGACTACCACCCAATGTATTCACTTGGCATCCGCTTCCCTTCCGACTGGTTGACCCCACAAGTCACGGCTTCTCATTAGAACTTAGAGGTATCTGGAAGCATATCACTAATCAGCACTATACATTATGTATTTTTGAGATGAATGGGGATTTTTTAATTTAGAAGTAGTATTCATCATGGACTGACATCAGTTGTGGAACTATTGAAAATCTGGGAGCATTGGATAGCTGTTTCGTCCTAGTATGGGACTCCTCAGCAATACGCAACCGCGACCCCACTAGGCATCGGACTCACGACCTTCAGGTTTCACGGTGAACGCGCTAACCACTCAGCCACTGAGCCGGTTTCCAGTTCACAATTTCCAACTTCTGTCAATTCACGATATAGCGCGACTGTCACCCAAGGTCTTCCTTCAGTTAGCATCCACTTCACTTCCGACTGGTTAACCCCACAGATCATGGCTTCTCATTAAAGCTTCCTGATATCCATCTGGAAGCAATACCATTATTTTTATTTTTTCAGTTTCTCCCTGGAGTATTTGATCTAATCCTGGAGGGAATCAGTTACAGTCTGAAATAGTTTTTAGTGATAATGTGTTTAGCATCATTGATAAGTGACATGTGAACAAGATCTATAGCAAGACAACAATTCCTGATAAGTATCAACAAGGCAGAAACCTAGATACAAGTCTTCCTATCAGCTGTTTGAAGATACTCTACACCAAACTATAGTTGAAGATCAACTGCTTGGACTACTGGATGATATTTGTTCAAATTTTAAGAAAATATACAATAAACAATGTTATATTCATAGATAATTCCTACTTAACGTTATGAATTAGAAGGGATGGATACTATGAATGTAATATATTTACTTACCATCAATACGAAATACTGTTTGTATATGCATTGGATAGGTGTCATTTACTGATTGATTAGGTGATCGTGTTAATAAATCTGACCAAATTAGATCTTTTCTTGTAGGTTCATCTTTCATGTCCTTTTCCAATGACTCTAATTCATATGATTTTACATCTTGTGTAAGTTGTGGTCCAACTGTTGTATTCAATAAATCAACCTGAACTATGGTTAAAGGTGCCATTTTGTTCAATATAAAAGTGGATTTATAGTAGTTATTTTTGTAAATGACTTTTTATGAAATCTATCAAAGATCCAAGTTGCGATATAAATTTGGTAAGTTAAGGTTTCATCAATTGATATGTACTTGAAGCATTTATAAAATGGAAGGTGAACTAATAAAGTTATCAACTTGCTAAGTTAATATTTACCTTCCGAGATGGTAAGATAGACACACATGTCCAACCTTATATTGTCCAACAGATATGAGCCTTTTTCCACCACTTAAAAAAAACTTCTATTGAAAATATAACATGAAACGACCTGTCTGTACCACTTTCTATTCAATAGCCACGTGAATGAGCTATCATTGGTTGAAATCATGTTATTTTGTGAAAACAAAACGCCAAATGATAAACCGAGTAGCTATTAGAAATACATATTCTACCATGGTTAAAATAGTTTCTACTTAAAAAATCTATCAAACATATATAATGCTGAATAGCAGTGTCTGTAAAACTTTATTCAACTAAGTACTATGTGGTTTTCAGCTTTAGGTTAACACTTTGTGTGAAATGATCTTCTATTACCTGTTAATGACTTACATAATTGAACTGTTAAATCTAGTCACATCGACTTCGTTATGACCTTCAAAATAAATCAGTACCCCTCAAGGTACCACTCAAATTTGTGCAGTACCAGATACTTATTTCATACTTTACTGGAGTTCAACAGCAGTATATACTCATAATTCCTCTTAGGATGGAACACAAGGTATTTTAAGTATTTATCAGATCTAATTGCACACCAGTTTTGCCTGTTTGATATACTTCACAGTTATTATTATTATTTCTCTTAGGTTCCTGGTGGAACATAGGGCTTCTGTAGCACATCGCCATTTCACTCTCTTCTCTCCAGTCTTCTTAACCTGGTTCTACAACTGCCCACAAGCTTTCATCTCTTCCTCACACAATCTCCTTCATGTCACCCTTGCTCGGACGCCCAAGCGTCGTTTCCCATTTGGCTTCCACTCGACGGCCTGGCCTGACGCAATATGTCCCCAAATGGTCTTCTCAGTGTATGTACAATACAATCCACCTTCACTTTCTTCTTCTGTATATTTGTTGGGTGATGGGTTCATGGTTGGTTCGTTGTCAGGTCAGAGTTCCTTGTTGCTTATTCTTTCTGGCCATCTGATCTTCAGCATGGAGTGAGCATAGGCGGCAGCTGTTGATGAATATCTTTAGTTTGTTGGAAATGCTTTTCGTAACACGCCAAGTCTCCCAACCATCACATAGAAGCACTGACTTGACTGAATTAGTGTTGAAAATCCGGATCTTGTTCACGCTTAATGCTGAGTGCAGGGTAGTGCAGTAGATCTCCATACTGATCATTTCAGATTAATGAAGGTCTGTCTTGCTTTCCTTCTGATCCTGGCTTTGACATCCTCATCTGTGCCTGTACCGTCATCTATAGTTGAGATGATGCTGCCTAGGTAGGTAGGTGAAAGAGACAACTTCCTTTAGATTTCTCTAGTTCATGGTGATTGGTGCTTGTTAGTGGTGGTGGTTGTGTATCTTCATCAATACTTCACAGTTATCAAGTATTATTTACTGGATCATGTTTCGTACAAATCTTACTGCTCATGAGCGTGTCAAGATGATATGTTAATGTTCGATAAGTTGTAATTTACTTGGTTGTGGCTGGCAGGGAAATCCAAGATAAGCGTCTCATTCCATTTGGGGCTCTTTAGGTGGATGCACCCTCACCCACCGGGACTCGAACCCAGTATCCATCGCTTCAAAGGCCAAATCGTTATCCAGTAGGCCACTGAGGCAAGAAAGCCACTTCTTGTACAATGGGTATTAGTTGTCACTACTTGGTTATATACTTGTAATTCTCTGCTTTGGTGTCTCGAGCGATGGGTGTGAGGTTCGAGTCTCAGTGGGGAAAATAGCCCTCCGCACTGGAGTGTAGGTACAGCCAGCTGACTAGTGAGTCCAAAATAGGACGAAACACGCGTCTTGGTTTCCTCTGCTAGCTAAAACCAAGTAAATTATCATAGTAAATATTCAGCGAATATCGGGGCATCCGCTTAGGAGCCCACATACCAATAGAAGCCGAAAAATTCGATTCAGTATAACGGTGGAGAATTACAAGCATTCAATAAATAGTAAGTGCGATAAATTTTATCCAAAATTTCATCCAACGTGAATCAGCAACTCAACACATGTTTATGTACTAAACTATGAGTTACAGTTAGAGAATGAGGAATTCCAATACTACTCATTTTTCCTGGTCGTTGTAATTGGAGTCGAGTTGGGAACAACTGCTTGAAAGTCGATTTCTCAGACCAAACAGTTAATATTTAGTCACCATGTATAATACTGAATAAACAAACCAATACCGAGGTCTACTGTTATGCTTATCTGGTAACATGTATTGAGGGATGCTGTAATTAAAAGTGAAGCATTTATCCAAATCGTGTCAGTACTTTACTGATTTTTTTCATCCTCAGAAATCTAATCACATGTTTAAACGCCAAAATGCTATCCATTAGGCAACTGAGGCACGACAGCAGCCTCTTTTGCAACGGGTATCAGTTGTTTGATGCTTGTAATCTCCCGTTGTCATACTGGGTCGGACTGCTCAAAAGCTGCTGTCATATGGGCTGTTATACTATCTAGGTGCATGGCCATTCTTAGTTAGTAGAGCGATTTTTCCGGTTAATTCCAATAACGAACGGGACTTTGACCTAGTAAATAGTAGACTGGTTCTCTGTGTTCGTTCAGAGCGCGGCTTCTGCTGCTTTTTTATGGAGTGGTGTGGTCGTTTTCCAGAGGGTACGATGCCAGCTTTTACTTCTTAGAGGGACAAGCGGCACACTTAATTCATACGAAATTGAGCAGTAACGGGACTGTGGTGCCCTTAGATGTCCGGGGCCACACATGTACGACAGTGATGATGCCAGAGAGTCTGGAAACCTGGTGCGAAAGGGTTGGGAAAACTGTTTCATTACCGTCGTGATTGGGATCGGGGCTTACAACTACTTTCCCTGAAAGAGGAATTCTTGGTAAGTAAAACTCATAAGCTTGCGCTGATTATGTCCTTGCCTTTTGTACACACCTCCCGTCGCTACTACCGATTGAATGGTTTAGCGAAGTCGTTGCAGTGGCTTGCCGCTTGACTGATGCCGAAAAGACAAGCTAATTTGACTACTTAGAGGAAGCAAAAGTCTTAGCAAGGTTTCCGAAAATGAACCTGCTGAAGGATCATTACCAGTTATCCCTATATATATAAAAGAAGAACCAAGCTGAGATGGCCGACCTGTTTACTTATGCGAAATGTTTGGATTACAGGTCCATTCTCATGCCGATGGTACATAAATATGGTGTGTTAAAACGTGTCAGTAAAATCCTTATATCAAAAGGGAACAGTGTATGGTTATTTATTTACTATGTCATTATGTGCTTGGTTGTGGCCTAGTGGATAACTCCTTGGCACGTGAAGCGATCGGCAATGGGTTCGAGTCCCAGTGGGAATAATAACACTCACTGAGATGCAGGTACATCCAACTGACCAGTGAGTCCTAAATAGGATGAAGCACACTCGTTGTATTCCACTGCTAGCCACCAAGCAGACAACTATATTATGCATAAGGTTAGGACTTTTGATATAGCTCGTGAACATTGATTACAATTTTATACAGTTAGAGTGCAGATAGGGTTCATTGAATTAAGTGTTTAATTATAAAGCAGTAGCTCTTGAGTTTGAAATCCGCTTTACCCATTTCATTGCTTAATCTGACTTCATTTTGAGGTTTTAAAAAAATGAGGAAAAAAGTATCATTTCAAAGTATTTCTCTCAAGAGTAATTAAGTCCTACTTCATTGAACATACTTCCTAAACTCATTTTCTTCTTCCTAGGCAATTAATATTTCATCAGAACTATATAAACGTAGATCCCTGATATATTTCTATCTACCGAGATATTTTTGTAAAGCCTTTCTCTGTAATACAAATGTGAATCACTACCAATAACATCACATCTATCATGTTCCATTACTTTTTCAAAATTTACCACAATATAAGACGATAAAATGTTAGTTATTATTTTCGACTAAAAATTGTTTTTTTTTCTTCACTTAAATAGGATTTACAGAATTAGAGATTATCTCATTTGATACTAGGTGATGATTGAAGGTGAAATGAAAATTTGGATCAAGGCAAGATTTCAGCTCAGTGGTCGCTGGTTCGAACCCCACCACAAGTTCATTTCATCTTCAATCATTACCTAATATCAGTATTAGTCTGATGAACTACATCTATCTCAGATAATGAAACTGAACAGTTCACAGCTAAACAAAAAAGATATCTCAGTTTTTATAATAAAAGAAACAGTCAACATAGTTTTATATAAATTTCACTTAGAAAAGTGGATGTAGTGCATTTTCTGTTTATTGAGCTTACAAATGTTGTTCCAGGGTATTTCTCCATTTAAATTTGAATTCAATATTTTTATGATAAGTGAAGCTGTTGAATATTGAAATGAATAAGTAGTTTTTTGTTATTATACGTAAACTGTATAGGAAAAGTAAACGTTGTCGTTTCAAAGACCATATATATTACTTTTTCTGAACTTTAATTAATATTACTATATTGTAATATAGTTCCAAACCTATAGGGATTTTATTTTTATAATAATATTCATCCCCGATTGACATCGATTGGAGAACCATTGAAAACCTGAGGGCAATGGACAACTGCTTTGTTCTAGTATGGGATTGCTCAGCATTACGCACCAACGACTCCACCAGGAGTCGAACTAGGGGCCACAGTTCGCTACTTCAAGGATTTTCCAACTAATATCAGTCTCTGAGGGATACTACTTTAAAAATTGAATCCTCATAAACTTGAAACTACATTAGTGTATAGTGCATATTAGTGACATGCTTCTAGATGGATATCTCCATGACCTATGGGGTCAACCAATCAGAACAGAAATGGGTATTATACCGTAGACAAC